TCTCTCTCTCTCTCTCTCTCTCTCTCTCTCTCTCTCTCTCTCTCTCTCTCTCTCTCTCGGTGTTCTCCTCGTGAAAGCGGGCATTCCGAACGAGGTTCGTTCGTTCGGTTCGGGGAACGAAGGAGCACTCTTGGTTCTCGAGGAGAGGTCTCTTCGCCTCCTTCCCGTGGTGTGTCGTCGAGCACGTGCGCGCGCACACGCACGCACACTCTCTCTGGACGCTCTGGGCTTTTGGTATTTACCAGTGATTCGCTCGGTCAATACGCGCGTGTACGCGTGCAAGCGGCCACGTGCATACGTCTCGACGGACGTGTGCGGATGTGTGCACGCGCGCGCTCACAAGAGTCCTCCTCTCCATCTTCCTCTTTCTCTCCGCTCGTGAAGAGTGCGAGATAAAGTTTTTCTTCCTCCCCCTTGCTTCCTCCTTCTCTCCCGACCTGTGCGCGGGTGCTTCTTCCTTATCCTTCCCCTCTCTCCCATCTCTCGCCTGATTTAACCCGACCCTTTTTGTCTCTCCTCGGAGCTGGATCTGTGCGCTCTCCCCCCTGACTCTCACCGAGCCGAAGAGAGTTTACGAGCTCTTTTCGAAGATAACCCACTAACAATCCCCGTTGCCCTCCGTCTCTCGCGCGGACCGTATGAAAGCCCACCACGCGTCGTATTCGCGGCTACTTCATCGGCATCGCGATTGCATCGTGACGCGCCTTGTCGTTGGCGCGCGTGCAGCTCGCACGTGGCATTCCAAACGCGTCGATACGTCAGTCTAAACTTGGCGCGATGCGTCTTATAAGACGAGTCTTTGTATTGTTGTCTTGTTCGTGATCGCTACGTGCACGCGGTTTGTCTCTCGTTAGCGAGAGTTGTTGTCGCAATTATTGCAAGTCTCGTCTATCCGGTTGAACTTTCTGTACTTTTTTTAGTGTAATTAATCCTGTTTCATCAACAGTATACTTTAGAAAGAATATGATTTAAAGAGAATATAAATCAATTTACAAAATCGTTTGATCGTTAAGAATCCTAGAATATAATTAAAATCCTTTCTGGGATATGATAAAATGTGTTAAAATTACAAAAAACTCGCTTTTCTCTTATTTCTCACGAAACTACGATCTCTTCCGCGGTACACCGCGTTCGAAAACAAATACATCTACGATCTAACATCCAACAAATAGCCGCGCGCGCCGCCGTCTTTCCTCCGGTGTCTCATGTCTCTACGAGTCGTCTCCACTCGCGCGTCTCGCGTGCTCCGTTCTCTCATCTCAAGCGCCTCTCCCGAGGAGGAGAGGCCCGCTCTCCGCGGCCGCTGCGACGTCCTCCTTCTCTTCCTCCTCCTCTGAAACCGCGACCACTGCCAGCACCACCACCACAACAACCACCGCCGCCGCCGCCGCCGCCACCACCACCACCGCCACCACCACTACCACCTCCGAGTTCACCACCTCCACCGCCGAGCCCACCATCTCCCGTCTTCCCTCCTCACTCTCTCGCTCTCTCGCTCTCTCGCTCTCTCTCTCGCTCTCTCTCTCTCTCTCTCTCTCTCTCTCTCTCTCTCCCTCCGGACGACCGCGCGCGCGATCTTCGTTACTCCGCGAGTGCACGGTGGTGGAAGTCGCAACGGAACTTCAGTGCAGCTGCGGCGAGCAGCTGACGCGGAATCATTCAAGTCTGCAGTACAGTTCGTGCCGCGTACGCGAGACGCCACACGAACGTCACGGACACGCATTCCGCTGTACTCCGCCGTACACCGCCGTACCGCCTGCGAGCAGAACGGCCGAGATTCGCGCGTGTCTTCGCGCTCGCCGCAAATGAGCTCGCGTCGCGGGTGCGTGCGAGCGAGGAAAACACATCCACTCCGCTGGCCGCTTTTGATCGGCTGCGCCAACCAGCGCGGTGTGTGTCGTCGTAACGCGAATCCGCGGCGAGGTGCAGCATCATCATCATCACCATCATAATCATCATCATCATCATCATCATCATCATCATCATCATTGTCGTCGTCGTCGTCGTCGTCGTCGTCGTCGTCGTCGTCGTCGTCGTCGTCGTCGTCGTCGTCGTCGTCGTCGTCGTCGTCGTCGCCGTGGTCGTCGGCGTCGTCGTCGTCTTCGTTCTCACCATCAGTGACTGCTGTCGTTATTGCGCGACTACCGACACGACGGCTGCTGAGGAGACGGCTGTAAAGGAGTACGACAAGCGCGAGCGAACGAGCATACTCGCGACGGACAGGTGAGTAGACGAGAGATCGGTCTCCGCGTACGCCAGGGGGTATCGACGTCTCGCCGAGATCCTCCGCAGACGTCTGCAGATTCGACGTTTGAATGGGCGAAAAGATTGTTTTGAGAAAAGCCGTTGTTGGGGGTTCGAGCCACGAGCACGTGGCGAATTATCGATGATACAGTCAATGAAAAATGTCGGGAGAAAGAACGGGCGATAGAATTTTAACAAGATTGAGAACAAGAGAATGAGTGCGCGCGCGTGTCTGTGCGTGTCAAGAATCATGATAAAATTACGAAAATAACGGCCGTGTTTTGCAAAGTATCGTGCTGCGTTGTGCATTCACTCCGATCGACTAGACATCCTAATGCCGAATCAACTGTTGACATTTACCGAGGGATTAAAGAGTCGACGTTCCGCCGACAGTTCTCTGTCGAGACGCACTTGCCGTAGTATTCACACACAGAGAGACGGTTCTCCCACCCCATAAATCAGCCGTGTAACGTTTGAAGGATAGCTCTCTCGTTCAGCGTTCAGCGCGACACATCGGGATAATTAAAAGTAGTATCGAGAGAAGGACACGCGCGCTCGAGAGAAGGATCCCGAGAACGCGGATTACAGCGGATCGGATGGACGGAACGAGCGGGCGGATTTTTAGCACGTGATATCACCGCGAGGATACGAACGTCACGACCAACGAGACACGTGCGAAGGCGACACGTGATTCCCGTTCGATGACAGCGATTCTCCGACAAAATCTCGATCCCCGCTAGGCGATCGGGCGCTCGCGGGTTGCCAGATATTGCCATCCGATACTTGAATTTTGATGTTTCTCGCGCGAAAGCGGCATTTGGCCGAGATCGTGGTCAAGAGCGAGAGTCGTCGTCGAGGCATTCGGAGATGAAACGCGCGCGAACACAGGGGAGCGATACCGCGGATGTTCGCGTCGCCGGAATACGGATACGAGACAATTTCGAACGCGTGAGTCACGCGTTTAGCGAGATGCGCGATCAAGTATCGGTCTTTGTTTACGTCAAGCGCGTCTCGCATACCATCCCGATGAGACCCTCGACTTCTTCCAAACAGCGCGAAATAACGTTCCGCGGTATGTGCGCGGAGAACGGAGAAATTCGCGAGACTTGTCAGCATCAGCTGTTTCGTCAGAGTCGCGCCCGATCGGTCGTTCGCGCGTAACCGGCGGCAGCACTTTCAAAAATGATCGTCGTCGAGAGAAGTTAGCGCTGGCGAAACGCTCGAGGATATATCGTCGCGTGGGTGCGACGAGGAAAGGGGAATCGATCGATTTTCGCGCGTTCGGTCGCCTCGTAGGCGGCGGGAATGCTGTTTTGTCTCTGAGAATCGTGCTCCGGGACACGTTTGTCGTGGCGGACGGATCTCGTGATTTGAATCCGTCGTCCTTTTTGCACACGCGCGAATAAGCAAACATCCCATAACCTTCCCATAACGGCGGGAGCCAATGACGGGAGGAAGAACAGAGTTTGATCGAACGCAATTAACCGATTGAATCCGATCGAATCTCAATCGAAGCGATATTGCTGTTTTAATCGTTTATTCGATCAATACGCACGGTCGATTAATCGATCAAGGCATAAACCACCGAGACTCGTTCGATTAATCAAACGAAATCGATAAACGGATAACAATTTAATCGGCAAATCTCGCGCGGCCGTCTTCGATCGAGTCGCTGGACCATCGCGAGACGCGCGAGGAAATCGAAACGAATCATTCGACGCGAGCAATTCCCAGAGAATAATGGCACGCGATAAATGGCTCATATCGTAGCGAGTATTACGATCTAGAGAGAGAGAGAGAGAGAGAGAGAGAGAGAGAGAGAGAAGCGGAAGATCGATTCGCAGTCCACGCGGTGTCCCCAACTCTCATCTCCTCGTTCCCGACCACTCGTCGTTCTTAAGCTCTTCGGAGTTGAGAACGATTCAATTGAAATGCCAAGCAGATCCGCTCGATCGGCTCGATTCCATCCCTATAGCCGCACCGGCGCACGTAGCGGCGACACGCATGCACGCACACGCAGCCGCTCGCGCACATTCTCGGGCCCTTCCTTGCAGCGCACCTGTTACGTTGTGTTGTCGTTCCGCCGCGGCGTGGCTGCACGCGACAGCTCGTGCCACTTACTTCCAGTTACCTCTCGGCAGTGTGAGCCGTCGGCCGCGTTCGGTCTCGGCGGAATCTCGCGGCGGAAGCTCGACGATCCGCGAGTCATGATCTGAACGCAAGATCGAAAGCGTCTCGCCACCCAATCGGACGCCCACGATTCACACAGGTAAAACAGATAGCGCGAACGGGGTCCCAAGATGACTCGAATACGTATTCTCTTTTTTTTCTCCGGACGCAGACAGACTCTGCTTTCGTTTCGGATCCGGGGTATCGATCTTATCGCAGGTTCCAGGAGTGGGTTCTCGAAGGTAGAAAGAATAGAGGAGAGAAAATTGCGCACAAGTCCGCAACCGAGTTCCCCAAAGAGCACAGTGAGTAGTACCTAACCTAGTAGGTAGACTCTCCGATCGATCGCTCCGAGCATCGTAAAAAAGTAAACGCGAGTATGCGATCGAATCGCGCAATATATTTCGTCACTTGACCTTTCTTGAACGGCGAGTGTCGTTAGAGAAATTAAAATGTCCTCCTAAACGGTTGCTTTTCTCGTAACTTTATCTCCGCTGTAGGAAGAACGGAGAAAATTCGCGCGAATAAGCGAAACGCACACCTCCAATTATAAAAGTACAGTATTTCTAATTAAATTCCAATTTCACGGCTTACGCACACATACGGCGAACGTTCTCGAGAGACGGATGGAAACAAAGGTGGCGCGCGAGTCGAGACCTCGCGTAAGTAAGAAGAAAACGGCGACGAAAATTCCTACGGAGATTATACCGGATTTAATGGCCGGGTAACACAGCGCGAGGCACTGTTCGAGGAGGAAAGAGATCGCGATCTCCCGAGGACGATCTCCGCGAGAGCGGCGTCTTCTTCCTCGGAGGCCTCGGATCGAAGCAGCCGACGAGCGCGAGCTCCGGTAAAGCCGCGCGAACGAGCGAGATGCGAGGTCGAGAAGCCTTCCCTCTCTCGGTCTCGCCGTCTTCCTCCCGCTCGATCCGGAGGAACCTACCAGCTCTATCCTATCTCTCTTTCTCTTGCCTCCTCCCCTCTCTCTCTCTCTCTCTCTCTCTCTCTCTCTCTCTCTCTCTCTCTCTGCACAGCACGCACGCACGTACTTACGCACGCACGCACGCACGCACGCACGCACGCACGCTCGCACGCACGCCTTTCCACTCGCGCACACAGTTTCTCCGGCCCATACTCGCGCGCGTCTCTTCCCAAGCGCGCTTCTGTGCGGCCGAGAGGACCCACGGAATCACCGCGGGTTTTTCGAAAAGCAAACAGAGGAAAGATCGAGCCTTGCTCGATCAGGTATAACGATAGCGAATAGGTGAAATTAGCCGCAAAGCGTAGAAGAGTTGGACGTTTTGGAAACAACGTGGACACGTAATGGTCCTCTCACGCTGGAAATACCGTCGGAAAATCGTCTCGTTGCTTCGCTGCCAATTAATCGTATCGTGATGCTATCGTCTTACTTTGCCTGATTTGTCACGTCGTAAATCGCGCATACATCAGCGACGTCGCCGACGGGCAACCGGATGCGCTTAAGGGCCAAGCCGCGGCAAGTACGAGAAATTACGATCTTGACGTTCGTAAATCCCGACGCTGACGTAAAGAGGAAGCGGATCGTTGTCGTTGAACCTCCATTATACCGTTCCCCACGTCCTTGCCTACGTAATTGGCTCTCCCTTTTTCTTCCTTTGTCGCGTAACACCTTCTCGAAAAAAAAAAAAAAAAATAATCTCGCGAGACTGCAGCATCGCGCGTGAACCGTAATTATTGACGGCCACTTTATCGTATTGATTATTCGAGAAACGCGCGCAGAACGCGAAAACATGCGAGATTAAAGTGCAAGTTGACGCAAAAAAAGGAAACGATACCGAAATCCCTAGTTGTAAATATGAATATTTCATAGAGAAACGAAGTAAAAACGGAATTAATAGAAATAGAAAGTGCTTTGCGTTGCTCGATACATGTACGGTGAATTGTTCAATTATTAAAAAATAGTCTCCCTAGTGGAAGAAACGCGAGATTCTAAATCGTTTGAAATTACGGGGAAGAGGGGACTTGTGTGGCTGAAACGAGCAAGTAATTTCTTTCGGGACGTGACGCAAGACGATGGATCAGTAATTCGAAACGCGCCTCGTATCTGCCGCTGATATTTCCCGATCGGTTAAGAGACTCACCGTCACGTCAGCCCGCATATATATTGGACATTTGCATTTTAATCTAGACTTCAATTAAGCAGTAGAGTACCCTATATCTTAAGGCGAAATGGCTCGCGTCGTCGCTATTGTTACACGAGTGAAATTTCATGCGGCTTATCGGGATCTTTTATTCCTCGGCTGCGTGCAATGTCCAATTCGGTCCCCCCGTACGCGATCAGTCTAAGACGCGATCAGTGACTGAGCCGATGATATTCCACTGATATCGTTGACAGGAACGGGACAATTGGACCGAATTAATTGAACTCGACGGCATTGCCGTTCGCTAATGACGTCTCATTAATCTCTATCGCGGCGTACGATCGATACTTTCGCGCGTGTTGTTCGCGCCACAATTTCGGTCCTTTGACGATCAAATCATCGGAAGGTATCATCCGAGGAGCCTACGCTCGTTCCGTTACGTATGACAAAATTGCTAGGACGTATTTTTAGGGACGCGCTTTCTCGGCTTGATTGAATCTGTATAACGCGTGTCTCGTCCCGTCGTCTCGTCCATAGTCTCGTTTTGCCGCGTTGAATGGGCAACGTGGATAATAATCGGGTGTTGCTTCGAAAATTAAGTCCCGCCTTCTGCGACCAAGTGGATTACGCGTCGCGAGATTGAATTTCGCAAGAATTAATGACATCTAAAAGTAAATTGAACTTCCCCGC